CAGGGCTTGCAGGGCCCTGAGCCGCTGGAGCAGGGAGCCCTGCCCCAGAGCAGCTATATCCACCGGGGGAGCATCCAGCAGCAGGTCAAGGGCTGACACCAAGCCCCCCATGAATGCCTCATACTCAGGGTAAGCCTGAAAGGGGACAGAGGGCAGGAAATAGGGACTGTGCCATGGTGGGTGTGATGGGTGCTCCACCTAGGAGCATCCCTGCTGCTCCGCTGGGCAGGGCAGCTCCTTGGGGGCTTTGCCGTGCCAGGCACGTGTCCCTGCAGTACCTGCGCATCCTTCTGGGAGAACTGAGCGATCTGCTGCTGGGTCTGGGCCATGTCATGCCCCAGCAGGAGGGAGCGAGGGGGGCTCCTGTCCTCCAGCAGTGGGGTGAAGGAGTAGGGGTCCCGTGGGAGCACCCTCAGACCATGCCGCTGCAAGACGGAGACAGCAGGGCCCACCCTGCAGGGACAGCCTGGCAGCAAGCTCCCCCTGCCAGTGTGCCAGAAGGTGCCGGCAGCCCGGCGAGGGATGGGTGCTGGTACCTGCAGCTCCAGCTCGGTGTAGATCTGTGGCCGCAGCAGGCTGAGCAGGTAGGATGCCCGGGAGAACTTGAAGCCTGGAAGATGTGGGGCAGTGGGGGGTGCCTGTGCTCAGGGCTGGCCAGGGGCGAGGGGACACGGGGTGCACCGGGGTACCTGGCACAATCTCCTCCGTGACAGCTGCACCACCCAGCACGTGGCGTTTCTCCAGCACAGCCGTGCGCAGCCCTGCCCGCTGCAGGTAGGCAGCCTGGGGGGAGTGTGGCATCCTGCTGCCCATCCTTCCGCGTGGGACGTGCCCTCGTCATCTCAAGCACCCTCTTGCATATGGTGTCTGCCCCCTCCTCCCCCCCGCAGGGAGGGCTCTGCTCCCCACAGCCCCATGGGCCCTGCCACCACCACCCTCCCTTGCCCATGGACCCTCCCTGGTGCCCCACTGCCCCCCAGCGATGGAGGCGGCAGCACGTCGCTCTCGGTACTCACTGCTACCAGCCCGTTGTGCCCTGCAAGGAGAGAGGGAGGTGAGCTGAGCCTGGTGGCAGGGTGGTCCCACAGCACAGGGCACCCCGCCATGCCTGGGACGCAGGGCTGCCACAACCACCCAAATAACGGGGTTCTGGGCACGGGGATACGGGTGACAGGGACCATCCTCCCCCATCCCTATAGCCCTGGCCCCATTGGTGCAGGAGAGGGGGACACAAGTGGTCAAAGCAGATGCTCCAGCTGTGCTCCACACAAACAGCATGTTGGGGAGGCTGCAACATGTGCCCAGCTGTGCAAGCCCCCCTGCACCCTCCCGGTCACATGCAACATGCTGGGGAGCTGCAATGTGCCCAGCACCACTGTGGTCCCCACCCGGCCACCCCCCCACCTTCCCTGGGGGGAGGGCAGCTGGGTGTCCCCGCTGGCTCCCCGCGGCCCAGCACCGGCTCCCTCACCCCACATTCCCTGCCCCGATCACCACTGCGTCGTACTCCCGCTGCAGCTGGTCTGCAGCCCCGGCGTGGGCCAGCCGCTCTCCCAGCCGCCCCGGGGACAGATGCCACCCC